CGTAATTATATTATTTAGTATAGATTCTTAAATTTGAATAATCTCAATGATTCTCCGCCATCATCATCACAAAAATCACATGTTCACATCTTTTTGCAAATTTTTTATAGTTATTGACATTCGATTGTAATTTGATTTTATTAATTAATAATTGTTAAATAATTTATGAGTATTTTTACTTCGATTCATTTTTCTAATAGCCATTCTTAACACCTAACATATTTCTCTTTCTCAATAAAGTTAAGTATAAAGATTTTTTCCTAGTCAAAGATAAATAAAAGTTCTGAATAATATTTGGCGGAAATCTTTTAAATTGGAGTGTAACCCGGTTTGCTCCAGAGTATGTTACTCCATTAAAAATCCCAAGATATAAAGAAAACTTGGTTAAAAGGTTTATTATTTTACTATTTGAAATTTTATTTTAGATGTAAAAAAGCTTTCGCTTTTGTAATTATTTTTCTCTTCTGTGTACATATTCGATATAACTATTAGACTTATCCTACTTAGTCGTTAAATCACACTTAGGTTCTTGTTTTAATAATTTATAGCATGGATTCAAATCTTGATTTAACACTATTAACCGAAAATGGGAAATATATTTGGGTTTCATATTAACCCAAATGAAGTAGGAAATCCGGTACCCAACCCAAATTATACAGAATTTGGGTCACAACTCTAATCTTGTTGATTTTCAATTTGAGTTCCATTTTTGCAAGTGTAGACCTTTATGCAACCATCTTAAAATAAGAAGTGATACAATTTAGAAATAATTACAATGATCGTTTAAAAAATGGTTTGGAACTCACCATCAGCGCTAGTGAATAACAAAGGTTTCCATGGATGAAATATTACATCTCTAACTTCTAGATCTTTTTTTTTTTTTTTTTGTACGTTTTCAAAAATTAATTACAACACAATTATAGTATTTAAAATAAAAATTTACGAACCTTCATGATCTCTTAATATGGCTGTGACATCCCCGGTCCTTAAACTGAATATAAAAACATGTCCAGTCATTGTTGGAGCTGCGATATAGCGACCATTTGAAGAAATCTTTATAAGCCACGAGTTGGAATGATAACTGCCAAATAAAAATATATATTCTAAAATCAAATAAAGAAACAATTGTTCAATTATTAATGGTTACTTACTCTTTATGTCCAAATCTTCGTACTTCTTTAAGTTCAAATGGTTGTCCTTTTTTAGAAGGATATATCAATTTGTGCAAGATACACACATTACCTCGTGATGCTAAGTCAATTGATAAATAACAAAACTTATTTTAGTACATATTTTTTTTACTTAATTCCAAAATAAATGAGCCATCACCTATTTTGCCGCCTTCCGCATCTAAAATCTCTACGCCACGTGTGATAAAATATGCGAATTTTGGAATTGGTTTCTTTTTTTTAGATTTACTATTACATTCCTCGACACTATCGTTATCAATGTCTTCATCTTCTAATGGTTCGACAGGATGAATGAATTTACCGCAATCACAATATTGAGAATACATGTTACCCGAAAATGTTTGCATGAGCTTTATGTATCAATACAACAGCCGTTAATGAAATATATCATGAGCCGCCATATCCAGTATGTATATGGATAATTCAAATACCTGTGCTGCATCAAAATCGTACAATCTAACGTGCTCATCTGTAGCTGCCATAAAATATCTATTTGCTGTATTTGGAACAAACGAAACAGTAAATGCCATACACGTTAAGCCATCAACCATCGGTTGCTTATTTATGAGTGTTCTAGAAAAAAATAACAATTGAGTCATAATTAATGCAAAGTTAACGTTATGTAAATTATTAGATTACTTACGTCCAATCATCGCGCATTTTCCATTTAATGATATATCCGTCTTGGCTTGTTGTTAAGAAATACGGTACTCCTTTATATACGACAGTTTTTACACACAATATTTCTTCAGTGTGTCCCTCAAGTCTTGCGATAGCTTTTCCAGTAATAACATCAAAAATCTAGGCGATTAAAGAAATTTCATATTTAAAATATACATCTTATTAAGAAAAGAAATCTTAGTTTTAGGTTTCCTAATATATATTACCTTAAGAGGACATGGTAAAATATGATTATCATCATCATCTTTTGACCAATGATGACGATCTTTCAATTTTCCACCAATTGCCATACGAGTATGATCGGGAATGAATTTACCCACAAAGAATTCATCAATGTTCACTTCCTATTTAATAACTTTCAGGTTATTTATTATTCAATATATGCACATTCTTTATTGCAAATTTTCTACCTCTATGTCTCTTAATTTTTGGATTAATTTGAAGTCGGCTGTATCCCATATTTTTGCGCATCCTACATTACAGAATGTCACAAGCATTGCTCCATCGGGCGAGAGTGTCATACCAGTTATTGGTCCTGGGTTAATAGGATACGTTATTAAAAGAATTCGTAAATTAAATATTTGTTATAAATTACCTTGATCACGCACATCCACATTTATCAATTCAAGTTGATGTTCTTCATTAATATAATTTATCATCCCATTATTACTTTCAGCGTGGAATTGCCAATATTTATCAGGGTAAAGATTAGCAGCCTTCTCAACCATGCTCGGCTGATATTGCGGTGCTTTTTTCTCCTACAAAATAAATTAATGAATATTTATATTGTTTAAAGCAAGATTACTTTTGAAATTTATTAAACTCGGCACAATCTCACAATCACACCATGTCAATAAATCCATCACATCGATCTTTTAATAATGTAAAAGACCGAGTATTCAATAACTAAATTAGATAGACCGGCATTTTACCGCAAATAGTCGCGTTAGTAAAAAAAATATATACCTCTGTTTTTTTAATAATAGCATTTTTCTTTATTGGTATTGCTTTCGATTTGCCTTTACTAGTTGTAATCGTTGTTGTAGACGATTTGGCTTCTTTTTTTGATGGACCTTCACGCGCTACCGATTTTTTTTCTTTATTCGATAGGGTCTCACGTAATTTACCTTTTTTCTTAAGGCCACGCAAACTTAATTTTTCACTTTGAACAACGCGCCGACCCATTCTTTTCAATTTTTCTAGAGTACCGATTATGCTAATTCTATTTTTTGCTGTTTATTTTTTTTCGCGTACACTTATTTCAATGTCGATCATTTGCATTTTATTGGGTGCCAATTTGACGATAATAACGTGATCGAATCAACCAATCAGATTTGAATTTAATAAAACAACGAAGTTCAAAAAACATCAGATTTGACGTTACAATAGAAAAGAATAAGTTTTTATATTCATTATATGAATTAAAATATAAGGAATATTTTTTAGTTAATAATGAATATCTAATTTTATAATAAAAAAATTAGATATAAGAGCTTGAAAAATTTTTATTATAAATAGACTATGCTCGTGAATGTTTTTTTTTTTATTCTAATAATATTCTGAACAATCAATTAAGATGAGATGGAAATAGAGGATCTTGAAGAGGTGAGTATACGAGATGAAAAGTGTAGTATGTTAACAACAGAAAATAATATAGATGAAAAAAGTTATGACGATAACATTTTAAATAGTCTATTAACTGTTTTTGTAGAAAATCTTGATAATAATACGTATTTGTCAGCAAATTAGTGATTTAAACATCTTGATAAATTAGCTAAATGGAATTTATGCGATTTATTTGACTTTATTATTTTTTTTTAATTACTGTATCGATATTTTGTTTTTTTAATTATCGCTACTTCCAGGGCAATAACTGGGCTTCGTTTAATTCAATTTTTTATTATTATTAGTTATAAGTAAATTTGAACCGGGTCAAAAAAATGTCATGTCTTATGACTTGTCTTGAACCAGTTAAATAACCGAAGTTCAAAAAAACATTAACTGCTAAAAATCAGATGGGCAGAAATTTTCAATTTCGTGATTATTTAAATTGAAACAATGAGATTAAATAGAACCTAAGCCAATAAGATATAAAATATAGTGTGATTACTAGAGTTGCAGGTGAAACTGGTGACTATCTAATATCTGATTGGCTATTCTAGCAGAACAGCCAATCAGATATTAGATAGTCACCAGTTTCACCAGCTTAATTTAGTTTCACCTGCAACTCTAGTGATTACTGAGATTAAAAGTGATGATTTGATCAGTAAAATTTTGCTTATGAGTTTTTATATCCCATTTATGAGTAGTGCTCCGAACTGATTAGCTAGAATACCCCAAAACTAACCTGAACCCGATCAATTTTGGATCATTTGAACTAAGCTGTTTATGAGTATCACTTTGTTATCACCTAATTTTGCATTCCAACTAGAGATGTACCTTGCGCGAGGTCAAGCTAGCATATATTCACAACCTTATGCAAATTTACATTACGTGATTTTGCGCGATTTTTTATGTGGGCCATGTAAAATTAATAATGTGACATAACAAGAACGAGTTATTTAATATTATTAATTAATTAAAAAGACTATTAAATTGATAACTCACTGATTATTAAAATTATCTTAATCGAATAATTTACTTCACGCAAGGTGCATGAAGTTGCGGGTATGAGAATTTTGTTATCTCACGCGAGGTACAGTAGCCAACAAAAGTAACGCCCGATTTTTCAATAAAATAAAGTTTTATGATTTATTCAATTTTTGCACTACATAAATAAAAATTTTTTTTCATAACTAATTAATGCTCTGCTAAACGCACTTGGACATGCAATACTAACACGATTCTTTGTGATATTGAGCCTATAACCGCCCCCCAAAACAAACATATCAGGATTCGCTCATCTCTTCTTTAAGTCTGCTCTGAGATCGTTCATATTTATTAAAGAGCCTTCAAACTTTTGAATATTGTTCTTCAATAGTTTCTGAATATTTTGTTAGATTTTGGTCAGGAGGACTTTGCTATTCGCACCATATTTGATTTTTTTTTGATTTTAAGCTATTTATTGGTTTTTTTATAACGTGTACACGACAATTATTACATTAAACCACCAAATTTACTTCGACCAACGAACAGACTTAACCACAAAACAAGACAAGGTAGTCTTCAGAAACTTTAATAAAAAAAACTTTTATAAATTTTTTTATTTTAATTCTAAAAAAATACAACGAACTTCTAATTTAACCCGCGAAATGCTCCCAGCCATCACCAAAACCCAACCATCCCTAAAGCTCGACATCACCTAATTATTTTTATTCCTCTTCATTGTGCGATAATATACTTTTAACTTGTCAGGTTTCTTTACCCGCTTCTCTTGTTGTTTTTGTCGAAAAATTACATGCTTTCACTTGTACACGTCCCTAATTTTTTTTTTTTTTTGCATTAAATTTTATTATTAGTAATTTTATAATTTATCAAATATGGAATTATTGTTACAATAAAAAACTTAACCACTAAGAAGAACAGAACCTTAGTGATGACCAACAAACCGCGTCGTGCAATGCTTGTGATATTCTTTTAATACCTTTTTTTGCTAATGCAGTATTTCTTTGCTTCTTAAGAATCAGGAAACGCCTAAATGATGGTAAAATATTTATTTTTTAGTTCTCTTATGTTTGTTCAAAAACTATCAACTCGTCATGGGGCTACGACCCATTTCTTGTACAACTTATTAGGTGGTCATATTTTGGTATAAACGAGGATAAACCCTTCATTTTTAAAAGGTATTATACTGCTGTTTCAAATAAATCACAATAAACACAAAATCTAATACCTGAGTACAAGATTTGTGTAAACCCGTTAAAGGTTTGGAATAATTTTTATGAAGATTTTCAATAAACCTACTAAGGATTTGGTTTGTGTAAGTGTTTAATGCTACGTAGTGAGCATTAATGGATATATAAAAAATATAAATAAATCACAAAAAAAAAAAAAAAAAACAAAAAAAAAACCCCCCGGGGATAAATGAACCCAAAAAATCAGGTTCAATTTGAACCTAATTTTGGTCTGTTTAATTTTAGTGTTTGTTTAATTTTTCCTCTCCCTCCCTCAAGCAAATATGAAAAAAGGAACGTTAAACAAATCTTTAAATTCAAACGGCCTTATCAGAGCAAATAATTGGCCATCATGCACTATTATGAGGCACATCACAGGTATGTAATTTATATATGTTGGAATACGAATGGGCCGATTTGATAAATTTTGCACAAATCACTAACTCTAAGATGCCCAGATGATAGTTTCGCTAAATTCCATGTTTCCTAATGGTCGTCCGTGATGATATTTTATACAGTGTTGGGCTTGGATATTGGACCTGGACATTGGACCACCTTTATCCAATCCAGTCCAATCCATTGGACCAAAGGGTATTGGACATTGGACAATGGTTCAATAATGCTAACACATAATATTTCGTATCATGATTGGCTATTGCTATATGGAAAATTACTTATTAAAAAAAAAAAAACTACAAACAGCTGAGATCTCAAAGTCTATTAACTTTAATTAGAACCAATTTGAATAAACCCGTATGTTACATAAAGTTTTAACATTAATAAAAATTAGCGATTCTTTAAAGTAGCGATTTCAACCTCTAACCTTAACAATAATAATAATTATAATTCAAAATTAAAGCTCAAAACTCTTGATTTGCTTAAGTTATTCGTTATATAAATTTTTTTAATATATTAGATAATAAAAAAAACTTTAATAGGTGATTGGACATATTGGACCTGGACCATGTCCAGGTATATGTCCAATGTTCATGTCCAGTCCAATAGTGTTGAAAATAGATGGACATATGTCCAGTGCCAACACTGATTTTATAGTCTATCTTTTCTAGAAATGATCAATGAAAATATCAATACTGTAAATATGTATTATTGTTTAATGCTACTCTAGCTCAAGTATAGGGTTGTTACGAAAATTACATTTTACATTTCATGTAATTTCGCACAAGTTTCAATAAAATTAGATTTATGTAACTTTTCATGTGATAGATAAAGTACCAGCGTTACAGAAGTTTAGCCAGTATTCTATATTTGTGAAGTACTTATTTAAATATTTTGTTGTATCGAATACTGTATTTGATTCGCGACATTTAAATGATAAAAACTATAAGGACGTAAAATCATATTATAATTACATGAAATGTTGAGCTACTCAAAATTACAGCCGGAAGTTTGATCTGCTGCATTGGTAGACCTCTCTAATCTACTCTGATATTTATTCAATATCGAAAAGGAATATTCATTTAACGAATAATTTAAAAAGCTATTTACCTTTGTGATATTTGCTGTCATGAATTATCTCTTATTTTATATTAATTAGTCATCAGCACACTTGAGATTTGTAATAGGGATTGGAACCATTTAACTGTATATAAATACTTATCGCTCTAGTATGTACGTACGTTCATAAAATAAAAATATAATTTTATAACACAACTTTGTTTAAAAGCGGAAATGCAATTTCCGCTTATACTATACCCAAAACATACGATTTATAAGTTGGATAAAAACAGAAACGATCCGTTATTTGTTTCTATTTGAAATATTTTGATAAGGTTTAATTTTAAATTTCGTGCTCTAATAAATCTTTATTACAGTAAATCAATTCGCTGGTCATACAAACTAAAAAGTATTTCCAACTGTCTAATACGTACTGCCAATTTTAACTAAAATATCTTAAAGTTCATAACTACCGGTATTTATTTATTTTAATTTATCAATTTTTTTTATTGTATATTTTATCGAGATACTTAGTTTCAGAGATTTCTCTCTTACTTGTCCCAACCACCACGTAGAGGTGTATCTCATGGTTGGGAAGGTTTCCCCCAATCCATCTTTCCCGCATTTCCCAACTGGGAGTAGGTTGCTCGATCTTGATGATACTACAACGTAGTCATCAAAAAGCTTTGACTCATACCTCTAGAGTTCGAAAGTCTTGCCATCCCACCACCCATCATCATCAAAACCGCTAACTCAAATTTTTTTACTCTTAAGGAAGGTACATAACCGATTCCTCATCCAGAACCAGTAGACCTTAGTAGGAAAATGCAAAAAACTTTTGACCTAATTACGGACTAATCTAATAAACCACCA